TAGTGGATATAAGTAAAAGGTTTATTTTTCAGTCACAAAAGGTCAAAAGGCGCTCTCAAGGAGGATTGAAAAATAGCAAAACAAAACACTAGCAAAACTACGAATTAAACAAGAGATCATAAACATGAATATAACTCAACCTTGACTTGGCGGTAAAACACTCTTGACGCATAAGGACAGAACAAGGCGAACTGGCACAGGACAAAGGGAGACGAGGACTATTTATACATGAGGAAGTAGGAAACAGGTGAAACCAATCAGGGGCAGGGAAGACGATCACCAAGGCAGGAAATCACGCAAAGGGAGGAAGTCAGGGTCTGAAATGAGAGGGAAAAGATGAGTACCAAAATAAAACAGGAAGTGCACGACGAGACTAGACATGAGTGAAGTTTAACTTATGATGAGTGCAACCTGTTTGATTCTCCTGATGAAGCCCAAAAATTAATGTAGGGGTTCTTTCACTATCCTTTCCACTGAAAAGCCACACCTTTGTCTCTGGTTGTGTGTGGGAGACCCCGGTGGCATCATCAATTGACACAGCGGCACCCAACGTGGGGCTTCATGCAGACAGTGACATTGACCAGCAGGCGGAGATGGCGCTGGTACGGATGGCGGAAGACTTTGTGGCAGTACCTGCAGCAGGCAGCGGATAGCAGCTGGAGGCTCTCCAGAGTGCCCGGCAGCGCCCACCTGCTTGACCCCTGGAGAGCCTTAGTGTGTGGGCTGGGCGGAGAGGAATTTCATGAGAAAGAGCTGAGCTGCAAAGCTGGAGGCCAGCAGAAATTGCTGGCCACTTTAAGTTAAGAGTTTTGTGAGTTTATGTTTGTGCAATAAAGTATGCTGAAAAGCAACACCTTTGTCTCTGGCTGTGTGTGGGAGACCCCAGTGGCATCGTCAATTGCCACAGTGACCAACTGCAGAGATTTATTTTCAGAAGCATTTTCAGCCTGAACAGGAGCTTGAATACGATCACAATCACACATTGCATTCTATCCTACTTTGCTCTCCTCTCTTTCTCTGTTTCTCCCTCTAATCTGGACCCCCCTTCTCTCTTATGCTCCATATTCACACATATGGTTGTCATTTAGAGATTTAGGCATCCCCTAGATGCTAACTTCAGTGGAAGTTTGCCACTGGAACAGGCCAATATGAATTTCAAGTCAAAATACAAATGAGTTCTTACTTTAATGAATTAATAATGGTAGCATCCAGAAAGCCATCGTTTTGTATTGCTTGTATGAAGTAAAGGCCATTCCACAGCAAGAAAGTATACATGGAAAAATCAAGGAGGTGCAGCAAATAAGTTGAAAGTAACGATTGTTACTACCCAAACATGAAGACTGATGAGATTTAAAGGAATAGATGGCTCCATAGAGACACTTAGCCTGGCCGCAGTGCTAAAGAGGAACTTGGGGTTTTCATTTTCTATTCAAGGTCCAGTGTGTATTATTTAGATGAAAGGGAACTATTGGCAGAGATTTAATGTAGAATAATTATCATGATGTTTTCACTAGTTTGTTTCATCAAAATTGTATGAATTGTAGTTTTCTTTACTCCAGAAAAGACCCTTTATATTTAAATACTTTACATTTACATTGAGGGGACCCCCTCTACGGAGGCCGCCATGTTTTTTTCATATTAGTCCAGACTGGAAAAACTTAACACCTTTTGAGTTTTTATGACAACTGAAGCTACCACAGGTTCTTTTTCATGTTTGGAAGGGGAGGGTGAGGTTAGGGGTGTTCAGCATAGGTCTTAATCCCTGCTTATTTCATCATGCGTTTTGAAAATGTCCCTGTGAATCACACCTGTTCTTGGCACTTACTGTATATTAAAAAAAAAAAAAGACCTATGAACATGCAATTTCAACACTAGATATCACAAAATTCTACACACTGTCACTTCAATGATGAATAATTGGAGGTTCTGACATCTGACATGGGCTTATATGTTATTAGACTCCAGGCTAGACAAGATTCTTCTCATTTGTCCTCTGTAGGTAGAATGACACTTCCTTTCCAACTTTGGCATCGTCTGCTTTAAAATATGTTTGGGACTTGTGCCATGGAGATAGTTTTTACGCTGTGAGGCTTCTGCATTGACAATATGACCTTCAGCTTGTGTGGGAGTGAAGTAGAGATGGCAGTACATTCTTTATCTGACATTTACATTCATTTGTATTTCTGCATCTGTAGTTTTTTTCATGTGTGTGCCCCACACCACGTTTGCCCTAATTCTAACTCCAAGGATATCTAACAAAATCAACTGATCATGATTTATCCTAACCATTTCTAGGCTACACTCAGGCTGACAAAGTCATTATTTGTGGGTATGAAGATATTGCAGAGCAGCAGGCTTGGTTTTGGGGAGGCATTTTAGGGAAAATGGTGGAAAAGCTTGGAACTTTGATCCTATCAGCGATTTATGTGAAAATGTTCCCTCCAGATTTGGCTATTTGCATTTAAATAGGACAAAATGATGGCACTAATATGCTTTTTGGCGTATACCATGTCCTCAATATTCTACATGACCATACGCTCCGCCATACAATAAAGGCTTTGTCCTAGTCTTTTTTTAAGTAACCTGCTTTCAGTGTACAACACATCAATAAACATAAATTATAATGCTAATTACTCTTAATATACTTTATCAGGAGGATCACACCATTTCCACTCAGTCACTTCACTCAGGTGAAAGTATTGACCTCTTTGACCAACTGCAGTCTTATTAATAGGGTAGAGTTACAGCTCTATGGATGTATATATATCGATCTTATCACACATCTCTCTGAGGGTTGTGGTCAGTCTCTGTATGAGAGCATTAAAAAGAAGAATAAAAGCAGCAGTTCACTGGAGAGCTCCTGAAAGTGGTGTCTACTCATTCAGCAGATCATAAGTATTGGATCTTAACCTATTTAAAGTTACATCTTCGATCAACTAAACCTTTTAATACTGGGCACGAGGCCTCTCAAAGCACTGATGAAAAGTTCATTGCCAGACTAATTAAGTAGAATATTGGTTAAAAAGGATTCTTAAACCTTCAAATTTCTCGTCACTTCCTTCTTTTTCTTTATCAAAGTATTTTTTAACCATGCAAAGGTACCTGACAGACCTGTAGCAAGAGAGCAAATGGAGAGACAGCTAGATATTGCCCCATCCATCCCATCCATTGGGCATGAGGAGTCACTGAATGGTTTGAGATGGTATGAAAATGATGTGAATCATATGCTATGACCCTAATAGTCACCAGACCCACAGGTTAATCGACTCTCTTCACCATCAACATCAAAACAACAAGTAAGAGAATAGGCTTTGGTGATGTTCATCCCTCCAGTCGAGTTCAGAGACCCAATCCTGCTCTGGTGCCATCTATATATAGTTTTATTCTCTAGCTGGTGTATTTTAAGAGTTTGTCGATCAGCAGCACAATGATTCTGCTCTTCTGCTGCTCCCCTAACTATATGGTTGACGGTTTGTCTATTGTTGTGTGAAAAGCAATGGAGGAAATCAGTGAGAGTTCAAACCACATAAAAGCTCAGTTCTGGAAAACAAAGTGGCCTATACTTCCATAATAGGAGGAAAGACAGAGTGATATTGTTGTCAGAGCTTTATTAACATACAACAAGCAATTAAATTCTTCCTGTTTATCAATTATACCCAAACGAGACAGAGGTGACAGACACTTCCCGCATTAATTACTGACGACAGTTAATTCTTTAGAGAGAAGGAATTTATACAAGCGAACACAGTGTTGTTGAACTCACTCAGGCTCTCTTCCTCAGAGACACGAGATAGCAGCACAAAGACTGAATGTTTCCAGGATGCCGTGGCTTTAATTGGAAGTTCGTGTTGCAGGTGTTCATGGTGCGGAGACTGTCTAAGACTGTCTCACAAAACAACCAGTGGAGTGCAGCTTAAATGTGATATTTGTGGCTCGATAGTCTTAAGTACATTTGTAAACAAATCAAAGTGCAAAATCCATCAATGTGAACAATGTAGCTCAATCAGACCTGCAGGATGGCTCCATTTGCAAATCAGAGTGTTAGTAACATTCAATAGCTGGGACAGGGAGTAGATTAGATAGCACAAATGTTATGAAACATCCATTGACAAGGCTGGTCTGTCTCAAAGCACCTAAACAAAGTGCCAAAATGATTGCATCTGACATCAGATAATCTCCCTCTCTATCATCACAGGCAGTAATATGCTCAGATCAACCTGTACTACCAACTATCATTATTACTGTATTTATAAAATTACTGTTACTGTTACTGTTATTAATAGCTGCTGCTGTCATCTGTACTGTAATCGTTGATAACATTATCGGATCTATTAGTATTGCTGTTGTCATCATTATTGCAGTGACCTGGAAAACCAGTCCAGACATTGCTTAAAAACAGTAACATGATTGTTTCTGGCCTCTTTAATTCATACTTCTCAGAGGATGACCTTTTTTCCAATGTGGACACTGTCATGCTTTCCTTTAAAGCCACCGTCAAGCACATGTAACTTCGGTGGGTAGATTGAGGTGATGACCTTAATTCTTGCATAAATCATTTCCAGTTTTATTTTTCATTAAGTGTAAAAGCAAACCATCAGTATGTTGTTCATTTTTGTCCACCACCCTACCGTGAACATTTCTGCCCCTATGGGCTGGTAGAGAGGTGGACTTGGCAGTGCAGGTAATTCAACATTTTATCTCTGGCTTATGTGCTAATTGCTGTGGTGTTTCTGCACCACAGTTCTCAGAAATCACTTGTCATTTAAACCGTGTGGGCGACACTGTGATGTCTCCTTGGACATTCTCTAAATGCAGAGTTTCCAAGACAGCACCACAAAGGACATCTATTTGTGTTGAATCATTTCCTTTGATGATACTGTATCTTTGATATGTAAACTTCAGTCTCAAGGCACTTTTCCTGTACAGAAGCAATAACGATAGTGGCAGCTACATTAAAGACAATGGCACTGATTGTTGGCACTCTGGTCTTTTTTGTGCAGGTAAAGCAGATTATGGAGGAAGCAGTGACTAAGAAATTTGTCCACGAAGACAGCAGCCACATCATTGCTCTATGTAGTAAGTACACTCCTCTTTTTCTATGGACACACACGCACAGGTTGTCTGTCTTTCTTCCTCTCTCTGTCTGGCACACACACTTGTTGAACTCCTCAGCAGGTGACTCTGTGCTGCTTCTCCGTCAAGGACACTTCTTGATGTCACTGCTTCTGTGACTATGCTGCTGCATCAATGGAAAGTTAATAATCACAGAGGAGGTAATGGAAACCAATTTCATATACAAGCTTTCTAAGCCCTAGACGTGTGTGCATGTGGGTTTGTGCACAAATGTGTGTGAGTGTATGTATGAGTCACAGCCTCCGTGCTGGTCAAGAGTTGAATATTCTTGTAGCCTCAGATCAGCCAATGACTACAATGTTAAGAAAATAGACATTTCTCAAATACTACTTTTTTATTGTCATCATATTTTTATATTCTGAGATCAGAAATATGATTTCTATACAGAAACATGAATTATGATTGATCACCTTAACTTCTGTTTCTGTAACCAGGCTTAAATATTGTAGTAGAACAGTGTCCCTGTCTGGACACATGAGTTGTTGAGACACATCGTCACTATTGATTTCTTCTTGGCTGCTGTCTTCTTCTTATGATGAGCTGGCATTAAACTCTATTTGCACAGGATTACTATTGACTGAAGAGAACCATTGATTAAAAGAAAGCATTGGGAAGGATCCCTCTCTTTGTTAGTTGTTTTAAGAGACATGATCATATAAACCTAGGCAAAGTTTAAATTCACAGGATTGCAGCATCATTGTGACATTGTACTTTGCTTGTAACACTAGATTATCAAAATGCTTCCGTTCTTACCTAGTTTACCTTTGGCATGTTTCTTTTCAGGAATTGTATGTTTTATTTTTATTTTAAATAAATAACTGTAATAGAAGAATTTATCCATACCACACACCCCTCCTTTGAAAGTTTTTAAAAAATATATCTATTCACTGTGGATTAACTTTATCCCTTTAGCTTTTGATATGGTATATTATTTAATGCTACATCATGATATGGTATGATATATAGATTATATGGTAAAGTATATGTATGGTAGAGGTGTGAAAAGGTTTTGCGTTTTCTGCTACTATCATTTTACCTACGCTGCTTCAGAATCAGGACAGACGCAAATTATAGAAGCAATCCTCTTGTAGTGTGTCAGAGTATAATGTCTTCCCTCCGCACTCTCCACGCTCTCTTTACACTTTTACACCAACACTAATCAGAAGGTGATATGACACATACAGTACTTGAATTTTACTTTGTGTTTGTTTAATTTATTCTACAATTAATGAGGCATGTATTTAAACATTGAAAAACATTCCAACATTTTTTTCACATGCAGTTCACTTGCCCCACGCTACATGAGATGAGACCTGATGTGCACAGCCAGGACATCAGGGTTCAGTGACCGCAACGATCCAGATTCATGATCAGACACCATCGATCATTAACTGAATAAGTGTGATTGTCAGTCACACACACACACACACACACACACACACACACACACACACACACATACAGAGGCTGCAGACAGGAGATACATTGTTCTGGCAGATTATCACACTGTGTGATGTGAGTCATTAGAAAAGAGCAGAGAATCAGAATCACTTGTTGACCTGTGCAGAGAAATGTGCCTCAAAGCAGTGGCATATCAAGAGGAGGCAGGTACAGTAAAGGCTATAATTCGTTTTTTTTCCTATGAAGTCTTTGGTGCTGCACACAAGTCTAAATTGAATGAATGTCAAATTAATTTTGTACAGTAAATGTTTGGTATGATATAGTAAATGGTCTGTTTTTTCTGGTCTTGATGACCAGTCAAAGTGCTTTACAGTACATTTTTTGTCATTCACCCATTCACACACACATACAGTGCATATATGGGCTATTGGGGTTCAGTATCTTGCCTCAGACTGGATCAACCCACTGAACTTCTGATCACAGGATGACTGTATGTATATGTATGGTATGATAAGGTCTGGTATATGGTATAGGTTTGGTACACACAAACACACACACACACACACACACACACACACACACACACACACACACACACACACACACACCAGTATACTCTTGTACTATCATACTCTCTTTTATTCACTTTCATACACACAACACTGGTCTCTTTTGCATAGATATATGTTTGAAACAGAATAAAAGCATATCTACCAGAAATTAATAGTACATGTGAATGCAAATAACCATGTGTAAGAAACAAAATTACAGTGAATGTAAGACAGGATGATACAATATGTGAATAAGAGTAGAAGCGAGTGTGAAAGAGTTTTATTGAGAAGAAAGTAAGGAAGATCTATTATTGGTTCTTGATTGGTTATCTCTGATGAAGCGTGGTTTCACTGATATTAAGTGTGGAGCAGCACTACACCTCCTGGGTAATTTTTTTAAACTCTTCCACCATTACAACAATGTCAGAAATGCTGGATCCACAGAGATCTCATGTAATACAGCCACACACAGGGACGTCTTAAAATGCTGCAGTTATTAAAACCTGGTTCATCAGGTGTAGTGTTTTCTTGGAGGATCAGGAGCGCTTCCTCTGGAGCTAACCTAACGCCCAGGCCACACTGGCTGCGGTTGTGCCACAGCAAAAAGCTGCAAATCGGCTTGCTTTTAATTTTGCGTCCATTTAACAGATCAGAGCGGTTGCACTGCCTGTTTTTCAGCTGCAGTTCAGTCGCGCTGCTCTTCTGAGATTGGAGGTCTTGCAGATTTTCTCCACGTGCTGCACGTGGTTCAGAGTTGAAATATTTATCTGTTAAATAAATGTCACAAACATAAATGATTGCACCGCTGCCTGTGCACATTTCAAAATAAAAGCACTCCAGCATATTGTTTGTTATGGTTTTTATTGTGAAATATTTGCAGAAGCATAAAGTGCACGGCTTCATGACGTATATTTCAGGTATTTATTTGAGTACGTAAGACTAGTTTTATACAATGAAATAAATGGTAAATGGTCCGTATTTATATAGTGCTTTTCTAGTCTTGATGACCACTCAAAGTGCTTGACAGTACTGTACAAAATACAAATACAGCAGTCGTACCAGAAACATCATAAGGGCTGTAATTATCAGCTATTAAAAGTTAAAGTAAAGAACTTCAGATAATGGGCTATAGTCTCTCTCTCTCTCTCAAATATAGGCACATGATGTTGTTTCAGTATCATACACAGATGAAAAATAAAATGATAAAATGGTCATCTAGTCTTGATGACCACTCAAAGTGCTTTACAGTACAGTTTGCCATTCACACACACATTCATACAGTGCATCTATAAGAGGCACTTTTTTTCTATGAGGGGCAATTCAGGGTTCAGCATCTTGCCCAAGGACACTTCGGCATTTAGATGGGGAAGACTGGGATTGAACTGCTGATTTTCTGTGTTTGAAATCATGCTGCCCTGCTCACCCATTAGGAGTAGATATGTTAAATTTGGGCATTACTTTAACCAAAAAATTAGTACTATTAGCTGGATTTACAGCAGCTAAAACATTGTCTGTGGGCTTTGAGGTATGTGAACATTGTGTACCTGGAGTTGTCTCAGTTCATGGAGCAAAGTAAACCAGCAATAGAGGCTTGGCATTCACTTTAATGAACCTCAAGGACCTTTTGCAACAATGCTCTGTAGGGGTCGGTGGCCTGGATCTCAAGGATGTGGAAGGTGAGGTACCCCCCCATCCACCCACCCACTTAGTCCCCCTTAGTGTTTTTTTAGAATCATTGTTCGATTAATATTTTTGTGTGTTTGTAATTGCTTGTGTTTTTGTGTTTCTTTGAAACCTTTTGAAAAAACAATATATTTGCTTCATAGGGTTTGTAGGTTAATGTGAGCTCCTGTCTCATCAGTCCTGATCTAAGAGCATGCAGGTGAAGCCAACCATGACGTCACTGAGACTAATCATCAGCCTCTCGAGCTCGGGGACTCTAGGGAAAAATGAAGGTAAAAGGTCAGGTGCTAAGCAGTGATGTCAGCCCAGGAATGAGTCACTGCCAGCTCACTCTCCCAGAGTGTCTGTCATAATACCTTCCATACCCAATAAATCCAGTGTTTTATAATATTATAATATTGAGAAATCCATTCTAAACACTGGCTAGTAGTATTTGGCTTTGAGATGAGATCAAGTATATCAATAAATTGATTTATTCAATAAAAAGATTCACATTAAACTAAGCAGATGCCTCGTGAAAAAAAGGTTTAATACAAAAGTGTCTGCTTGTGCACGTTCATACTAACTCAGGAGTAACACAAGTATTTCAATGTAATGTTTACACACACAGTAGAATCAAACGTTAATTTACAACCTTGTCCCTTCCTGTAGATTTGTTTCATGGTGTGTGCACAGAGACACAAGGATAAAGGAGAAAGAGACGCACAGAAGTCAGAGGCTGAGCTGAACACACCCTCACAATAACACTCCCAGAGACGTCTATCTAGCAGATAACATCTGTGCAGTTGTAATGGTAATTACAATTGGGGGAGCTGGGATAGGAAATAGAGTCCTTTTCCCTTTATTGATTAAAGCACATTTTATATTTCCACGCTTTCATATCATGTCTGTCTCTTATAGTTCCTTACTCTATCTTTCACCATCTAATATATACGCAAACATTTTAAATTATACCCAGCATCAAAACGAAAACCGTGTGTGTGTGTGAGATAGAGAGACGAAAGTACATTTTATAAATGTGCCAATTCAGTACCCACAAAATTATTTAATTTGGTTTTTTACCATCACTGACTTCAACCCAGACTTACCATTTTGAAAAGAGAAACACCTCTTTTGAATTTAATTTACACTCATAACACACTGTGCAAATAAACTTAATATATATTTTTTGGGTCTAGCACATGCAAATTACAGTCCTACAGTGGCTGAGTATATTTGCCAGGAGGATCCCACCAACTCACATGTGTATGTGAAATGAATGACTCGATTTTGTTAGCCAAAAGTCAAGGTCATGTTGTCCTCAAGTTT